TCCCTCAGCTCTTCAGCTCAAGGCTAGTGCTCTACCACTTGAGCCACAGTGCCACTTCCAGTTTTCTGGTGGTTTATTGGAGATAAGAGTCTCACGAACTTTCTTGCCTGGGCTGGCTTTGAACCGTGATCCTCAGATCTCAGCCCTCTGAGTAGCTAGCATTATAGGTATGAGCCACCTGTGCTCGGCTATATAGGCATTCTTGTATAAATTATTTCATCTGATAATCCTATAGAGTAGTTGTTTTGAGTCATATTTCATACAAATTAGACTTGCAGAGGGTATATAGCTGGTAAGCAGCAGAGGCAGAACTCAAATGCAGGCCTGATGCCAAAGACAGGATTATTTTTCACATACACAGGCAAAATGGAGGTTAGAACAAAAAGAAGCTGAGCTAAGGCAATGGTATCATCATTATCTACAAATATGAGAAGGCACAACTCTTTCTTATAACATGGAAATCAACAGGAGAAATACCTACTAGATAACCATGACTTCCATGAACACATAGCAAAAAGGGGCAAATGTAGAAGTGGAGCCATGGCTCAAGTGACAGGGTGTTAGCCTTGAGCAAAAAAGCTCAAGGACAGTGCCTAGGCCTTGAATTCAAGCCCCAGGACCAGCACATAAAAAAGAGTGTGAATCTAGTCTGGTCCTTGGGTTCCTGAAGGGCCAATCAGTTTCGCCTATGAACAGGACACCTTGGGGTCAACAGGAAACCTTACCTAGAAAGGAGGGACCCACTGGTAGCGAAGAGAGTTTCGTTGTGACTGAATAGTATTCAACTGCTTTTTTGAATCGTTCTATTTTATCTTCTGTCCTGGACTGGATATTGGAACATCAGATTTTCAGAAAAAGAATAACATGAGTGTCTCTTTCATACAACTTACAATTTGGTAGTCAAAACAATAGCAGATATGAAATATTTAAAGAAACTTAAGAGAGTAACTTTCCACTTTGAATAAAAGATTAGATAGGAAAAAAGCATTATAAAACATAAAATCTATAATACCTTCAACAAAGTTCACTTACATTCCATTCTTTTCAAAAGTGATCAGATTATTTAGGAAAAAAATTAGGATCAGAGAGGATTAATCATATAGAATGACCATCCAAAGGTATTTTGGTGTGTTTCCTTACAGTATTTAAAATTTTTATTATTCTTGTTCTTGAAGAATAATCTTTTCTTCCTTCTCTCACTTCCTACCTCTATCTGCCTTTCCTTCTTTTCTTCTCTTTGCTTTTCTTACTCTGGTCTCAAGCTCATAATCTGTGTCAGCCTCCCAAGAGATGACTAGCACACAACAATCCATGCCCAGCTAAGTATACCCAGTCCATTCTAATACATATTTTTCTACAGTTGATACTATATGTATAATTTGTACCCTGCTTTTATTACATTAACATTTTGTCTAGATAATTTTAAATAGTCTCATATTTTACCATTAGAAATGTGTTATAAATTATATAACCACTGCCACAAAAACAGCCATTTAGGTTATTTTTCACATTTGGCTATTGTAAGTTGTACAACAAATAGTACATTGTCCGTAAGTTTCCTCTGGATCTCCAATTGGCAAATACCCTTAAATTTTAATTATTAGTTTAAAAGGTATGAACATGAAAGCCCAAAGCACAAAAATACATACAAAAACTACAATGTGACGCCTTTCCATTTTCACCAGAAGGTCTAAAATTAAAAATACCAATATTAAGTACTCAGCAGGATAGAGTAAGTGGAACTCTAACAATACTTCTGATGGTAGTGTACATTGATACAGTTTGGAAGAGAGTTTAGCAGCCTGTTATACAAATTTAAATTGCTGGAGAGAGAGAGAGAGAGAGGGAAAGAGAGATACGGACAGGGAGAGAGGAGGGAGAGAGAGACAGAAGATGGGAAAAGGGAGAGAGGCAGAAAGGGAGAGATAGAGGCAAAGGAAGAAGGAGATAGAGAGGGAAAGAAAAACAGGGAAAAGGAGAGGGAGAGAAAGAGAAAGAGAGGAAGAGAGGGAGAAGGAGAGAGAGGGAGACAGGGAGAGGGGGTGAGAGGGAGAAATGGAGAAAGAAAACAAAGAAAATAATGATACACATAATAATATTTAATAAATCTCAAATACACTGAATCAAAGAATAGAGGCACAAAAGAGTACACACAAAGTTCAGGAAGAAGTGAAAATCATCTTTGGCAAAAAAAGTTTAAAAAACTTCTTGGACTGGAGCTGACAATATAACTTGGTAGTACAGTATGTGACAAAAATGTGAGAGTTCGATATCCAGCACTATAAATAAAACTAATGGGCCAGGAGTGTACGTCTCTAGCACTGCCAAAACAAGAAATTACTACTTAATCTCCACGTGAAGAAGGCGACTAAAAGGGATTTATCAAGCCTTTCCCAATTCTCTTTTCTTTTTCTTTTTTTTTTTTGGGGGGGGGGGTCTGGTCATCGGGCCTGAACTCTGGGCCTGGGTGCTGTCCCTCAGCTCTTCAGCTCAAGGCTAGCGCTCTACCACTTGAGCCACAGCTCCACTTGCGGCTTTTTTCTTTGCTTGTGTGGTGCTGAGGAATCAAACCCAGGGCCTCAGGCATGCAAGGCAAGCACTCTACCACTGAGCCACCTTCCCAGCCCTTTCCCAATTCTCTTGAAATAGAATTTTAACATCTTTACAGAATGTCATTTATTAATCACATTTCTAATATCTCATTATAAATAATATTCTCATAAATATATTTTAGCTAAGTCTTTTGGGTTATTTTACAGAGCAAATTCTTAGAAGTATAATTACTAGGTCAAAGAGTATGATCATTTTCAGACTCATGACACATGATACTAAAATCTCTTTCCAAAATAGATTTCTCAAGTTACACTCCCATCATCAATGCATGAGAATATCCACTTCACCATACAGCTCCAGTGCCAAGTATCTTCTATAAAAAAATCATCTACTAGCTATAACAAATAATATTTCTTTCTTACAAAAAATAAAACATACAATAAAAAGAAAATTTTCAAATCTCTCTCAGAGACTGATTTTCAATATTCAGAATCCAGGAAAATATTCCAAGACTTTTTACTTGCATGTATGTCCAGACACAAAACAGGGAACTGAGATCTCCAGCCTTTGGCCATAGAAACAAAAACCATGTACTTTCTCAAAAATTTGAATCTGATATAGCTGGCTGAGAAAAGTGTTTTAAATCTAGAAAACATTAATTAATACTCTACTGTTATCAACATTCCATTATTAATTCATTGATATCTTTATTATATTTAAGAACATGTATAATAATTGAAAGCAATCTCCTAAAAACTACGAATTATGAACAGAATCTACTTTTATGTGGCTAATGCTGCATTCACTCTCTTCACAAGAAGTCATCCAATTTGGTAGATTTTTTTTTTCAGAAATTGTGCTGTATTTATAAACACATTGGTAAAATCATACAGCTTTGGTTTTTTTCACATAAATGGAATCGTATCACTACATTTTCACATGAATGCAATCATATTAATATATTTACTTAGCTTTTTGTATTTAATACTATTTTTATAGACTGTTCAATGTCAGTAGGTAGAGACCTCTGACCCAATCTATTGAAATACCAAATTATATCTGCTTCTCTCAGCAAACCCTTCTGTTCCTGTGTCACCGCAGGCATACACTTATTCTTCAAGAGGCCCTACTTCATTAAAAATTTTCTAGACCATGTTTTCCTAGTTAGTCTTCTGTGTCCTTTTTTCTTTTTTTTGGGGGGGGGTCTGGTCGTGGGGCCTGAACTCTGGGCCTGGGCACTGTCCCTCAGCTCTTCGGCTCAAGGCTAGCACTCTACCACGTGAGCCACAGCGCCACTTCTGGCTTTTTTTTTTGCTTATGTGGTGCTGAGGAATCGAACCCAGGGCCTCAGGCATGCAAGGCAAGCGCTCTACTACTGAGCCAACTTCCCAGCCCTGTCCTTTCTTCTTTTTTTTTTCTTTTTGTTTCTTTTTTTGCCAGTTCTGGGACTTGAATCCTAGGATTGGATACTGTCCCTGGGCTCCTTTTTGCTCAAAGTTAGTGCTCTACCACTTGAGCCACAGCCAGATGCAACTGTGATTAATTGGAGATAAGTCTCACGGACTTTTTTTTTTGCCAAGCCTGGGTCTTGAACCCAGGGCCTGGGCTCTGTCCCTGAGCTTCTTTTGCTTAAGCATAGCGCTCTACCACCGTGCCACTTCTGGCTTTTTCAGTTTATGGTACTGAGGAATTGAACCCAGGGCTTCATGCATGCTAGGCAAGCACTTTACCACTAAGCCACATTCCGAAACCTCTGTGTTCTTTTTTCATTGTACTTATTTGTTTGCTTCTGCCTCTCCATTCAACCTGAAATTCTGTGAGAAGAAAAAATGGGTGATTTATATTTATATTTATATTTATATCCTAATGCTTAGCACAGGATTTAATTTTTGTTTTGTGTGTGTGCATGTGTGTGCCAGTCCTAGGGCTTGAACCAGGGTCAGGGTGCTATCTCTGAGATTGTTTGCTCAAGGCTAGTGCTCTACCACTTGAGCTCACAATGACACTTCTGGCTTTTTCTGACTAATTTACTGGAGATGAAAGTCTCACAGATTTTTCTGCCCTGAATGGCTTAGAACTTGATCCTCAAATCCCAGCCTCCTGAGTAGCTAGGATTACAGGCATAAGCCACCAGCACTGGGCTTAACATAAGATTTGTTTTTTTGAGCTTTTTTTCTTTGTTTTTTGTCAAGCCTGGGGCCTGAACTCAAGGCCTGGGCACTGTCCCTGAACTTGTTTTACTCAAGGCTAGCACTCTACCACTTCAGCCACAGTGCCACTTCTGGCTTTTTCTGTTTATGTGGTACTGAGGAATCAAACCCAGGGCTTCATGCATGCTAGGCAAACACTATACCACGGAGCCACATTCTCAGTCCAAGATTTATTTTACACAGAAACTCATTATTTTTTCTCTGTTAGTGTTTAATCAGGTCCTACCTTTTCCTTTATGATTTCTGCAGAGGATTCAGCAGAGTAGAACTCTTCACTTTATAGATTGAGAATCCCTTATCCAAAATGCTTCAAACTAAAATGGTTTTTATTTCAATTTTTTTGAATATTTGCATATACATAATAAGATATCTTAGAGATAGGACTCAAATACAAACATGAAATTAATTTGTTTCACATTTTCTTTATATGCTAATCCTGAGTTATTTTGCAAACCATTTTTTGTGTTCTTACATTTTGATGGTTTGCCATCACCTGAGTTCCCGGGGCGGAATTCTCTACCTATGACATCATGTGTGAGCTCAAAATGTGTTAATTATGGAGTTTTATATTGAAAATGCTTAACCTGTGTTAACTGTTCAACTGTTTAGGAGATTTTTTTTTGTGATAGAATACTTGTCTCGCATGGGCAAGGCTCTGAATTTTAATCCCTAGGACTGAAAATTAAAAGATTTTAAAAATAAAAATAATTTAAGTAAAACCAGGTTTTCTTTTTTTTTTTTTTAACTCAGATGTCTGCCTCATTAAACCATACATGGAAAGAAGACTAGGGGAGCTAGGGGAGCTCAGGTTTTAAAGTAGCTGCCTTAAAGCAAGTACAAGATCCTGAGCTCAAATCCTAGAACCACCAATATAATAACATAAAGTAATAATAAATTAAAAATTAAAGCACTAAGGTGAAATTGAGGATGGTCTGTATTATCCAGGTTGTTTTTTGTTTCTGGTGAAAAATTAGAGAGATATTCATTATTCAGAATAATTACCTCAGCTACAAAGGGAAGCAAATGCTGTTATTTACTCCATCTCCAGCAATATAAAAAAGA